ACTGAAAATAGAAGTGCCATTTGACCCAGCAATTCCATTACTGGGAATATATCCTAAAGAGGTGAGAGATAGCACATGGACAGACATATGTACACCTATGTTCATCATAGCAAAATTCACTATAGCAGAGATGGAAACAACCTAAATGGCCATCAACGGCTGAGTGGATAACCAAATTATGGTACATGCACACAATGGAATACTATGCTACATTAAAGAACAATGAGGGATACATGAATCATCTCAAAACATCGATGAACCTGGAGGACATTATGCTGAGTGAAATAAGTCAATTGCAGAAAGACAAGTACTGTATGAACCCATTACTGTAAAAAGACAAAGGGTTTGCTTGGGAAAGGGAACTCACTTTGTAGTTTACTGAGTTGGGGAGGGAAGGGGAAGGACTAATTTCGGCCTAGTTGGGGCTCACACGCTGACATGGGTGGAGGAGGGATATATGGAAAGGATTTGTGGCCACCATGATGACATTGGGAAATGGAAAGACACCGAATTGTGCACATAAGAGATAGATGACAGATACTAATACCAACCAATGTGTCCACAATGCTGCATTGCCATTAACACCAAACACCAGGCTACAGATAAACACATAAACACCTGAGACAATCAGATGGGGGTCAGTAACCAGAAGTATACTCTAGACCAAGGATAGATTCAATTGAGGCTATCTTACACAGACACTAGTGATATAAAATACCTGTATTCCTTGCAGAAACAATAGAAGACAGACACAGAGAAGTACCTCACAGACAACCAGACACTATAGGAGAGAAATCCAATAGCTCTACTGTCTCAGGACCATAGTACTGGGGGGCACCAGACTCAACTGGCACAACAAAATACATAAAAGCCTTGCTCCACATCCTACATTGTTAAGTAGTGACTGGGGTCTTAAAAGCTTTCAAGCGGCCATCTAAGAGGCAGCTAATGATCTCCTAGCATCGGAAGTGAAGAAGAATGGAAGAAAAACAAGGGCATTTGGAAGCAATCAGCCCGAGGACATGATGGCCTTCGAGACCAGAAGAACTAGATGGTGCCCAGCTACCAATGCCAACCACTCAGGAAAGGATTCAATCTGGAGATCCTGATAGAGTGGGAAGAAAAACATGGAACAAAATCCAAAAACTCAATAATGACCAGAATTATTGATGAGACCCCCAATACTATTGCCTTGGAATACATTCTGCACCTGGAATAAAACTCATCACCAGGGGCTGCTCACATCTCAAAAGTTAACAGATGTACACGCAGACCACTCAACCCAAGATGATGCACCCACATACTCTATGGTGATACATCCCTTAGAGCAGTAGACCCCTGGGCACCAGAGGACCAACTTTCAAATTGAGGAAATGCAGGACAAACAGGAGAACATAAATATGAGGGGTACAGGGGGAAGGTTACACACTAGGGAGGGGAGGATACTGGGTTAGGGTTGTACATGGTAAATGGGGAATGAAATTAAATGTGCACATAACATTGAATGTAAAACAAACTCTTAAATAAATTAATTAATTAGAAAAAGAGAAGTTCTTTGAAGATGTGATTAAACTAAGGCTACTGAGATGGAAAGATTACCCTGGATTATCAGATATGCTGCAGATGCAGTCAGTGCCATCTTTTTAAGAGAGAAGTAGAGGAAGATTTAATGCACAAAGAAGGGAAGAAGGCAATGTGAACACCAAGGCAGAGATTGGAGAGATGTGGCCACCAGTCAGGGAACGCCAGGAACCCCCAGAAGCTTGAAGAAGGAGAGATGGAACTCTCCCCAAAAGCCTCCAGAGAGAGCCTGATCCTGGCAACACCGTGACTTTGGTACAATGAAATTTATTTCAGACTTGTGTCCTCTGAAACTATGAGAAAATACATTTCTGTTGCTTCAAACCACCAATTTTGCAGTAGTTTGTTACAGCAGCTAGGAAAGAAGCAATATGCCACTAGGATTCTGAGAAAATTTTGAATTGGTGTAATAAGGCATTGAGGGTATAAAAACACGTAATGGCCAAGAGAGCTACCAGACAATGCCGTAGGATAATACAGGAGGTCTCCAAACGTGGCTGTGAACCTCTATGACAGCAAACCAAATGAGGGTCAAAAAGTAAAAGATATTTGAAAAGCAGCTACTAACTCAGCCTTCAGAAATTATGATTAGATGGAGTTGTCCATTATAGTAATATGCTAGCTTACTGAGGAACACATTTCTAATCATTAGAACCAGGCATACAAACACACAAATGGCATATTGTTTTGTTTAGAAGATTATATTAAGTCATGATGATCATTCTACAAATTAACATAATTATGTAACCAATATTACTTTCATGATTCATCACATAAAGATTAGTCTTTGCTTGAAAATTAACACTGTTATTGTTGGATTTAGCTCCACTAGAATTTTCCCTCCCATACGCTTTGCTAAAAAATAAACAGACAAACAAAACAAATTCACAGACTTCTTATTTCATATTAATGTGACAAATTGGCCTATCTCTTGATGTTATTTTCAAAGAAATTTCAATCCTACATTTTTTGTAGTTTTTTCACCATTCTAAATATTTCTTATTCTCCTTTTCACCAGTTATTTTCCCATTTCAGCTCATATATTATTTACTGAATATTCGTGTTTCTTTATTCACATACATATTCAGTCCAACAGTCAAATAAAATATGCATTGCTTTAAATCTAGTATACTAGGCAGGTAGGTGTATCTTGTCATTTATTAATAAATATGATTTTATGTGAAGTTAGTTCAATTTCCAATATACAGATGTGATTTAATAATATGTCTACTATTAGCATTCATGCAAAGAATTAATTAGAGGAAAAAAAGCATTTGTTAGACTTTTAGTCCAACATACTTCAAACTTTCTTAGTTTACTAAATGCCTTCCTAAAGTTAAGTTTTGTTTTCTAAATTATTATAATTAAACAAAGAACTTCCTTGGTGAAAGATTTCACTGTGTCACTGATATATTTTTTCTGCTTTTGGAGAGTTTTGCATAGGGCAAGTAATATAAAACACAAATACCCAACCCCAGATGTTATATTAGTTCATCATGTGGCAATGACTCCATAAAATAGTTAAAATTCCACTGATATTGTTGGTGGTTATTGATCCATTCTAAACATATTTACTGAGCATATACCACCAAGCACTGACCTAGCTGCAGGAACTGACTTGGTTACTGCCCTCATGAGCTTACAGATAATTGAGTAAGTGATAAGAGTATTGTAGGTGTTTAATGAAATTACTCAGGTGGTGTGCGGACTTCTGGTTAGCTGTCAAATGCCTTGGGCACTACGCCACCAGAGCTCCTACTATTAAGTATGTTGTTGTTATGTGCCATTAAGTCAGACCTGACTTGGGCTTCCCAGGTGGTATCACTATGGAGGTAGATTGCCTAACCTTCATTCCAAGGAGTGGCTGGTGGGTTTGAACTACCAGACTTCTGGTTAGCAGTCAAGTACCTTAGGCACTACATTACCAGAGTAGGGTCAGTGGAAAAAGAGGAAGACCTACAATAAGATCCATTAACAGAGTGGTTGCAACAATGGGCTCAAATACAGAAACAATTATGACCATGACAGAGGACCGGGCAGTGTTTCATTTGTTGTATGCAGGATTACTATGAGTCAGAACCAAATTCATAGTATCTAGCAAAAAAAGAACAGCAAGAAGTTCAGCTGAATATTTCCAATGTTATTATAAACGTCAAGTTTCTGGAAGAAAACTTTGTGAATCAATTGGAGAAGTAAGTTATTTTTATGAAAGATATAATTACCTTCCACAGAATATAGGCAGAATCAACAGTAAAACACCATCAATTTATCGAGATATAATCTCCTTGAAAAACAGTAATTGGAAAATTCCTCCCAGTAAATGACCACAATGAAAGTTACATGAAAGACACTGTTACATGAAAGTTACATGAAAGGCACTGTTGATTGCCTCTCCTCAGAAGGAAGATGGGGCAATCTATTTCCATAGAGATACCACCTCGTAAACCCAAGAAGGGGTTGCTATGAGTTGGAATTGACTCCATGGCAGTGAGTTTGTTTTTTTCAATTTTTTTTTTTTTTTTTGTTCTTGCTAAGGAACACTTTGTTTTGTTCATTTAAAAGAAAACTGCTCACTTCAGTGGAGGCTGAACTCCTCAACAGCTCCAGGTTGTTAATCTTGATATGTTTGAGCCAAATCATACTTAATCTTTTCCTATCACCTGTCTTTTTCTGAAGAATGAATGTGATTGCAATTTTGGCCAAAAACACATAAGGGAGAGTCTGCTGGCAGGCTTGTGGAAATGTTTCCTTAACTATGGAAAAGCCATTTTGGCCATTGGCTATTGCTGTATAATGGTGCTATGCCTGAAACTGTTTTGGTCATCTGAAGACGATGAGGAAGGAAACTTGAGGACAGAAGTCAACATGATAAGACTTTCAACAGAGCAGAAAGATAGAAATAACCTGCATCAGGAATGACACAACTGAACCTCTGAAATAAATAATCCTTGATCCATCATCTTAAGGAACTCTCGTGGCATAGTGGGTAAGGCATTTGGCTGCTAACCAAAAGATCAGTGATTCAAACCTACCAGCTCCTCCATGGGAGGAAGATGAAGCAGTCTACTTCAATAAATATTTACAGTCTTGGAAACCAAATGGGGGTCACTATGAATCAGAATCAACTTGATGGCAGTGGATTTGGTTTTTTGGTTTTGACTCATCTTACTTCAGGATTCTGTGTTTTGTGAAACAACACATTTTTCTTATTGTTGACACCATCTTGAATTGGGCTTTCTATGACTTGTAGGTTACAAATATATATATATAAACCCTCACAATAAATCTTTCTGGTAACAAGTTCAATAATTTCAGTCAAAAACATTTACTAAACATTAGAAATAATGTTCATCCTATCATCTCTGAAAAGATTAACCTCAGACAAACAATGAAGAAGAGAAAATTTTAAACATCCTTACTTGAATGCCAGCTCCCTCTGGCACCGTGATCTTCCATATGCAATTGAGATTGTTGTCATAAGGCTCAGGATATCCAGGAGACAAAATAGTCCCTTTGCGCTTAGTTAAAATTCCACCACAGGGCACTAAAATAAACCAGTCCAAGAGAGGGAGTTAACTCTAAGGCAAAGGATTAAAATAAGAATAAAATGGCAGAGACAGCATCTTAGACATACACTAGACTTTCAATCACTAAATAATACCACTTTTTAAAGTTCAAAAAGATCATAAAATTAA